TTTAGGTCCTATAGACCCCTCTGGATTCTATCGACCCCTATACATTTAGATTCTATCGAGTCCTATAGATTCTTTAGGCCCCTCTAGATCCTATAGACCCCTATAGATTCGGCTTCTGGGACCCTCTAGACCCCTATAGACCCCCACAGATTCAGATTCTATAGAACCCTCTAGATCCTATAAACCCCTATAGAGTCTAGACCCCTATAGGTTCCATAGAGCCCTACAGATTCAGATTCTATAGACCCTTATAGATTCTACACCCCTATAGATTCAGATTCTACAGACTCCTCTAGATCCTGTAGCACCGTATAGATTTTATAGACCCCCCCCCCCTATAGATTTAGATTGTAGAGCTCTATAGATTCTTTACACCCCTCTAGATTCTATAGACCCCTGAAGATGCAGCTTCTAGACCCCTATAGATCCTATAGACCCCCCCCTAGATTTGGATTCTAGACCCCTATAGAATCCATAGACCCCTACCTATAGATTCTATAGGCTCCTGTAGATTTAGATTCTGGAGTCCTGCAGATTCTATAGATCCCCTCTATAAACGCCTACAGACTCAGATTCTATAGACCCCCGAGATTGTAGACCCCTATAGATCCAAATCCTATAGACCCCCATAGATTCTATACACTCCTACAGACTCTGTAGTCCCCTATAGGTTCCGTAGGCTCCTATAGATTCTATAGACCCCTCTAGATTTAGAGTCTAGACCCCTATGGATTCCATAGAGCCCTACAGGTTCTACAGACCCCTATACATTTAGATTCTATAGACCCCTATAGATTCCAGACCCCTATAGATTCCATAGGCTCCTACAGATTCAGGTTCTATGGACCCCTATAGATTCTATAGACCCCTCTCTTATAGATTCCAGACCCCTATAGATTCAGATCCTATAGACCCCTATGGATTCTGTAGGCTCCTATAGAGTCTACAGGTCCCTATAGATTCCATAGGTCCCCACAGAAGGAATTAACTCCCCTCTCCCAGTTTGTCCCAGTTTGTCCCCTCCCCCCCCCCC